ATGCCACTAATAAGTACAGTTCACCCTTGTACTAGTTCCGGCACGTCACAGTTCAACCACATCAGACACGTCGCAGTAAAAAACAATATTTCTTATATAATTTTATTTTATGCTATGTACACTCACCCGGCGCAGTTCCGAGTCAGGTCCGTTAGTCACCTTATCGGTGTCCGTCAGCGACTTTCACATTTCTTCCCATCAATATTTTGTGATTGTTCAGAGTCCTGACGGTTGTATTATGTATTTGTTTGACATTAAAATATAGTTTTTTTTGTTATTTAAATAGTTATTGTGTTTACATTTCAAGGACTGTTGATAACTATTACAAGATAGGCGATTAAAAATGTTAAGAATATTGTGTTTAAGCAACGAAATTCTTGACTGTAACATCACTTGAACTGACGGAAGACTGACTGAAACCAACTAGTTGACTGAGGATGCAAGAATGGCGGATGCAACTGAGACTGAACTGTGACGGAAATGTGACTGGACTTGTGTGTGAAACTACCTTACTCGCTACATTTCTGGAATCGTTCCTCGCACAGGCCCCAGGCATATGTGGATGGTTAAAAGCTAGAAAAAGAGGCCGCCAACCTTTTAAAAATATTTGAACTATACATTAAGCAGATATGCTTTCGGTAACTACTAGCATTGCTTTTCATTAGCTGAAAAAAACACCGTCAACTAGTTTTATTTTGATTGGTATAGTACAGTTTCATATGATGTTATCATATCAAGGTTTTTTTATCATATGTAAGGTTTTTTCTACTGTTTTAATATTTTATTTATTTTTTAGATGTTGTCAACAACTTCTACAACAACTATATGTTCTTTATGATTTTCGAGCCATAAGACATTGATTATTTTTCACAACACCCTTGTATATTTGATTTAAAACATATTTTTATCCGAAAAAAAGATAATACAACTAACTTTAATCCTTATCGAAGTAAGTATTTAAAGAAATGTCCTATCCCATTGAATGTATTAAAAAAATGTATTTAATAAAAATTGTTATATTGTTGATTATTTTTTGTTTAATCAAATCATAATATAACTATTGAAGTATTAATATGGCAAATAAAGTAATTATCCCATGATACCACTTTTAGTAAATAATGTAATCTGTTTTAGTTAAATTTGTCAAACCGCTGAATTGTTTTTTCCAAGACCACAAAAAATTTACCATGAAACTATTTCATGTTTAAAAACTAGTTACTAACAAACACTCATTGGGAATTATATGCGTAAGCATTCCATACTTTGTAAAGTTAAAAACTTAAAATTCCTTCAATAAAAGCCCTTACTAAATTAGGTATTTCGTAATAGATGTATTCTACTTAAATTAAGTAGTCTTAGATGCAAGTAGAGCGAAATTTAGGTAGACAGCACTAGTTAACTTTTCACTTCGACGGTCTACTATTGTGACCTACAAACATGAAAGTACATTAACTCAACCTTAACTTAGTTCACTGAAATATTTCTTGCTGCATCCCTCAGTGCTTAGTGAATGTAACTATTTGATTCACATCCAAACTTTACTTTCTTGGCTAAAGTATATAGTTTTTTCGTGAATACAATGTCCGTGACGTGATATATATTTAAATACGTTTTACACTATATTATATTTATAGGTTTTAAAAACAATACGGTAGAAGATAATTTATTTTTAAGGCAAGCCTGTTAAGTACAATTGTATAGTGATCTAACTACTAACCATGAAAATATATATTCAAACGTTGCACCTTTCCATTTCTTACAAACGGAAAAAAATAAAAGAAATGTCTTATAACACTTAAAACATATATTTACGCTTATACTGTTACTCACAAGACGGTAAATATACAAAAAAAAGATGGTAAGTGGTAATCGATTTCAATTGGAGTGTCAAATCGAAATCAATCACCACTTACCAACTTTTTTGCATATTTACCGTATTGTAACAGTATAAGCGTAAATAAACATTGAAGTGTTGTAAGACGTTTCTTTTATTTACATTCCGTAAATTTAAATAACACGTACAATGCTGATCAAGAAGTTATTTCTTACAAACTAATATGACTTTTAAATGGGAACACGACATAAAGTTGAAGTTAATCTATTAAACATAATCAAGAAACTTTTATATTAGTATTGCCGAATGTAAGATGAAGGTATCTTTTCAATCTGTTGTATTTCAAGAGGTAAAAAAAATTAAACTACCCTTTTAATAATATTCGTAAAATATTGAAAAATGGAAACAAACAGTCTAGTATTCCTTTTCTCTTATGTTATTTTAGAAAATCTCTCTTTAGGACTTTTAAATCACAGTGGGAGGACAACATAGAAACTGGTAGAAGGCAAAAGTAATTCCGTTTAAGTATGTTATCTTATTTTGCTAAATTTCAGTCAATTCAGTGGCTTTCGAGATTTTAAATTACAGCCCTTCTTTTTAGTCATACAACACATGTATTGCAATCTTTCATAACTAGTCCCATACTTAGATTATGAATACAAATTCTAAGTTGTATTATTTTATGACTACACTTTACTTATTATGTCGTCATAATACTCTTTTATACAGTATACTCTGTGCTATTTTATTTCTATACACTCCAATAGAAAAACTACAAAATGCATTTGAAATTGTGTTGCTGCAGAAACAAATATTTATATTTCAAAGTGAACACCAATAATCCATTAGCCTGTCACAGGTTTTATCACCCTAATCAAAGCAAGTAAAGTTACTTAGATCTTCTTTACTACTAGCCACTAAAACCAGACCTTAAATAAATAATAAGATAAAGTTAGTTACTTCTCTCACGGGGTTTCAACTCACAAACTACTCTTTGGCAATATATATCCCTCCAGTAGACTATAACAATAGAATATTATTTTCACTTTTATCTTGAGTGCAAAGTTCTTTCCATAGTTGTTTGTTTCTTAAATTAACACCATAAAGAATTTTTTTGTTAGAAAGTGTGTTGGAAAATGAAAAGTTATTTAAAATGAAATAAAGACCAATTTAATTTATAAATACATACCCCGGAATAGGCATATGCCTATGTTAATTTCTTCACTAGTTTTAATAAAATGTCATCGCATTTTATTAACAATTTAGAATATAGATTGCCAAAAGCAGATATCAAGTATTGCAATAAATGAAAGTTGAACAGATAGTTACAAAGTGTCCTGCGTAGCAGGTATTTTATTGTTCGCTATGTATATATTATTATTATTAAAATACGGCTTACATTTTAAATTATCCAACAATTCCCATAGAAGCATCTGCATAGCATTAAGTAATCCTATATAAAATGTTTAAACTTAAAAAAAAATATCTTGAGTTAAAGGCAGATTCTTTAATACAAAATTAAATCAGGAAAAAGGTAATTACATAAGCAAACACTTGATAATGCCAATTAATTTGAATAACAAACTAGCTCTCGAATAATGTTTGCCTTATCATGATTGTTACAGACTTAATTAGATCTAAATGAATTGATTTTGTTTTTCTAGTTTAATCATTTAAAAATGCTACTATTAAAACATTCTAATTTTTTTATCCATTAAAACAGTTTTAAATAACAACTTATCATTTTTTATTTAAACGACTAGTACTCAATTCATAGTGTGTAAGTTTATTTTAAATTTGATTTCATTTAAGTGTATATAGTAAACAATTTTTAAATTGAATTTTACCGATAAAATAATATACAGAAAGTAAATAAAATAAACGTCTTATAACACTTAAAACATATATTTACGCTTATACTGTTACTCACAAGACGGTAAATATACAAAAAAGATGGTAAGTGGTAATCGATTTCAATTAGACACTCCAATCATCATCAGACCCAATAGGCGAATGACATAAATAATCTAAAAATAAAAATTAATAATCTAAACTTTTTTTGTTTTGACTGTTTTTTTTAAGTAAAGAAACAAGCTATTACATAATTAAACTCCCAATTTAGCTTTACTAGTAACAATAGTTTTAAAATAATAAGAAAACTCAGAAAATGTTTAAATACTAAGGGAGTTTATTGAAATACAGCTCTTGAGAAGTAAAAATATAACTACCAATTTTTTCATTTGATTTTTTTTAGTAAAGAAATATTTTATTTATATCAATACAGCTGATTTAGGCCTAATGTTTACCAAAATATTAACCTGGATTGTTACGTTCATCACGTTTATTTTAAAAGTGATCACATTACGAATTTTTAATTTGGTGTCAGTATTATGTCATATGTCAATAATTATTTACCTACCCAATGAAATTAATTGTAAGTTTTGAGCAAAAGTTTCATTTGAAGATGCACAAAACTATTACAAGAAAAAGAACTGTAAGGGAATATCCTTTGTTAGTAAGTTGAAGCAAGTTCGTTGCTGCTCTGACATATATAAAACACGTCAGAGGTGGTAGTTACGTGCTTGCAATGCAAATGCAAACTGGTTACTTCGCATTTACTTATTATACAAACGAATCTTTGACAGTGTAACCTAGTTTGTGGCTTACATTAACATAGAATAATACGGAATCGATGTTATTGTAAACAACTCAATCCAAATTTCTTAGTAAATTAATAAAAAAAAAAAAAATTTTGGGATTTATAAAAACTTAACTATTGAAACAATACCCTAAAATTGTGTTTATAAATTGTTTTAATCAGTCAAATAAACGAAAGTAAGAGACAAGAGAACCCAAACGTTATGTAATTTGTGCTAATTATATACCAGGACTACATTCCAAATGATATACGAAACGTGAACGTATACCAGTTGGTTGCAGCAATAGCCTTAAAATAAAAAGGTATCTGGATTTATTCTAAAAGATGTCCATTCAGAACCAATATGCCATTCGTAACTATCAATAAAGCTGTCAACCAAAAGGCCAACGTCCAGTACAGTTGTCTTAGGAAAAATTACATTCTAATAGTTTGGCTATGAACACGATATTAATATATATATAGTTGTTATTTTTATATACTCACCACTATTTTTTATATTATTTTCAGTAACTGGTGGACTACGTCAGGTAGAGCTCAGAGTACCGGCAGCTGTTACAACAGGCAGCACAGCCACATTGCTGTGTAACTATGACCTCGAGAACGACCCCTTGTATGTCGTCAAGTGGTACAAGGGTAGAAAGGAGTTTTTCAGGTTCATGCCTAAGGAGAAGCCAAAGACAAGCGTGTTTCCTCTTGACGGCGTCAACATTGATGTAAGTTGTGTAGTTTTACTTTTCATATGAGTAGGGGGAAGCGAGCTGAGTAGAGTATGAGCTCATAGCTTTAGTTCCCTGAGGTACTGGGTTCGAATCCCGCCAATCACTAATGGACTTTATTTAACTGATAATGCCGCGACTCCCTCTAAACCTAGCCTAAAAGTAATGCTTAAAGAAATTACGGGCCAGAACCCAGTGGAATAAAAAAAATTATAGGAGAAGTTGTAAAAACCTAAAGATTATTTGAAAAAAGTTAAAACAAAGAGTTTTGAAACAAAAAATTTGAGACTTCATACAGTTATTTTGCAGCTTATTTACACATTTTTATCAACGGTTAGAGCGTAAAAATATATGGAGTCCTATTTACGTGGATATAATGAATGATGTGTGATGTAATTAAACAACTTATTTTGGTATCAAGTGCTGAACTTTGAGGAAAAAATCCCGAACTGGTTGTCTATTTTTGTCATATATCATATTTATGTCTTATTTCGGTAACATTACACAATGCACAAATGTCTTGAAAGGAATTAGGGATATCATTGGCTATTTTCACAGTAAGGCATGTGAATATTATTTATTGTTAAACCTGGGTATTATATAAAAAAAAAAAAATAATATGCCGGTTGAATACTAGTCAGGCGACATTTTCCCCAACTGTCACGCTCCTTTGCATGACTGTTCTACCACTACCTGTTACTGAGTTTGTTAAGCTACATAAAACTCAATAAAATGTGTTACAATCTGCAGCAGAGCATGTCAGACGCCAAGAAGGTCGTGTTGAGAGAAGTGACCAAAGAGTTGACCGGCAAGTATCGGTGTGAGGTCTCGACGGACTTCCCTGACTTTCACACACAAGTAGTGTCAGCACACATGAACGTCGTTGGTGAGCTTATAATTCTACATTTATAATATTCTAACTTAAGTAATATATGCCCAGTTATAGGTCATCAACATCTTAACTCAGTGCTTGATTTACTGAAACACGACGAGGCTGTTAAAGACTTGATAACCTCTATGTTTGTTTTGAATGCACGTTAAATAATATTAGTACAGTAACTATTTATTAGACAGAACTTAAAAGGGGTATGCATAAAAATACTGTTTCTATTATTAAAAACAAGGTAAATATGTTCAAAATAAATGGAAACATCTTTACATGATCCAGTTTGCATCTACGTTGATTCTGCTGAGATATGGCAGTAAATAAGCTTCTTTGATAAAAGGGGATTATCTTTTAGAGATCTTTTATAAGTGATAAAAAAACCTTGTAACTGTAATGCCTTGTGGTTAAATGGGCATTATGAAAGTGTTGAAATAATGTGTTGAACTGTACAATCAACATTAAGGGTTATTCTCAATAGAGAATACTTGATGTCGTACTTCGTTATTGTTAATTAAGAAAGGGGGAGGCACAAATTGAGCCGATCTTGTATATTCTGTAGTTTTTATGTTTCCAAGTACAATTAAGATTGTTAGGCTGTAATATGCTCACGTAAGTAGTAATTGGCAAAAGATGACAGTGATTTCTACGAAGCAAAAAAAAAAAAAAATTCAAGTCTAGTACTTTTACAAATATTACATTTTATTTAGATACTGAATATTGCATACATCTTAAATTGCTAACAGTAATATTATTTTTTTTTCAACATTATTTTTCTAGATATAATCATAAAATATAATACAATTACTAAGTAATATGATTAAATTCCCTTGAAACCATTTAATTTGTTGCTAGAATTAAATGTAAGAATTTTAAAACCGAATACTGCATATATTTACACATTTAATACAAACATTACACATGTAAAAACCTTAGTAGTGACATTATTTTAATACCAGATGAATACAAGTTTATGCAAACGTACTTTTTATGCTAACGTAAATGCTTTGTGAGAAAGTAGTGTGTGTGACCACCGTTATTAAAAGCAATAATTTCCGCTTACAAAGCGCTAAACCAGCATATCTCACTGCCCGGGCCAGCTCCCCAGGGCTAGCTATAAGTTTCAAGAAAATTACCCCAGCGGTTGAAAATAATAGAAACTAATTACATTTGTGTTTTTTATAAAAAAATAAAATAGATATCCAACCATAATTCTGTTGGTTTTTAAGTATTTATAGTATGAGAGGAATATACATTATATACACGTTGTGTTAATCATCAAATGACAAATTGTAAGCAATTTAGATGTTTCTATTAGTACAGTCATAATGTTCTAAGCAATCATGTAAAATAGTAACCCTGCACTCGTTTACATTGAGTAATAATACTTTTTAGTGTAATGATGTTCCATAAATTGGTATGACACAAGAATCCCAAATGATCAACCTATTTTTTAACATAGTAGCAGTTAAGTGATGGCCGTATCAATATACTGATCCTGGATATTTTATAAACGTAGTTTTTTCCCTAAATACTTAGTTTTTGTAAGAACATATATCTTAGCAGTTAACTTGCAACCGTATTCGCAACTTTATGGGTTTTATTTTATATGATCTAATGTTTTGCCGTTTATAAATCCTCTGAAATACTCTATACATACAGGTCCACATATTAAATTTTATTAAATATGATTATTTGATTTTATTCGACACGATAACATTGTAAATTCAAGCAAACGTTGATGTTTAAGATGCAATTGAGTTATTTGCATAAACAACACGAATCACACAGAGAAACAAAAAACAGGAACAAATATTTGATTAAAATTGCTGGTGAAGTATAAAAAAATTTGTTTTAAACAAATATAGAGTTTACGTTTTAATCAGTATTAAAATTAAATATTTGTGTGCGTAGAAACTCTTTGTTTGAAAAGTTAAATGCCAGAAGACAATAAGAATCCCCCAGGCGCATATAAATTCCCTTTCAGACTTAATAACTTTTTGTTTCCAGTTTTAAACACGACCCCACATCTTTTCTCTTGGGATGACATTAATCCTACTCTTCAACTTAAAAACATTGTATCTGTTGTATAATGCGAATTGTATTGTCTTTGTTGGTTAAATAAGTTAAGGTTTGCTTTAGCGATTTACATCCAACAAATATCCGTAAGTAAGTTTAACTTTACTTTAGATATTTATATGTACTGAAAATAAATAATTAACCAGGCTGCAAAAAATCAACATGTCTTTTTGTGTATGGGAAACGTATATTTCATTGACGGTAGTATGTGCTATTTCTGAATGCAAGACCTTAAATAATGCAATTGCTTTGAAAACAAAAATATTAAAATAACACGTACGCTAAAAACTCTGTAAGAAGAAGAATGCATTATGTCTTTTCCATTTATTACCATACATTCACATTTCACTTTAGTGTTTAATCCATTATGGTTTTTGGCGTCAACATGTAACTTTCTGACAGACCTTTTATCCTCACTGTGAACAGACACATTCTTTGGCTTATCAAGTTTGTTGAACTGTGAAACTTTCTTTTAAGATAAATATGTCTAAGAATATCACAATCTCCCAACGCATTATTTTAAGCTTCACTTTTGAATTTACTAAGTTAGAGGAGAATATGAGGTGAACCAGAATAAAGAAGTGTTTAAAAAAAGTTGGATATAGGCTATCCAGGTTGGTCAATCCTTTTGCTCTCAAGGGTCCCACGACGAAGTTGACATTAAAACCAAGGATTCACATCAAATAGGCATCTGAAGCCTTCGTTTGAGGTCTCTTTAATGCGTTTGTGTGCATGTAAATCTTATCAGTATATTCCGAGTATCAATGCTAAATAATAATACGAAACGTTTCTTACGAAATTAACGGTGACTAATTTGTATGTTGACTTGTTAGTTTTCATTTTTGTTTGTTTCCAGATCCATTAAAGAAGGAACCAGTTCTGATGATGGAGAAGAGCAGTTATTCTGTTGGAGACACTTTGAGGGGTAACTGCACCACTCCCCCCTCCAACCCCACTGCTAACATCACTTGGCTGATCAACGGACAGAAGGTAAGTTACTATTGTAAACCTAGGACAAGATAACAGGTTCTAGCTTAAAGATTGTTTGTGTAAACTCTTTAGTAAAACAATATCAATAACAGAGCTAAGCATTTATGTTTGATGGCGATCCAAAAAGGTTTAAAACCTCAGATTTAAATTTAAGATTTACTGATCAATGTTTCCTAGACAACTTATTTCCTTAAAATACATATAAGTCCCGATACCAAAGCACGTTTTAATTGGTGAATTGGTGGGCCAGTTGGTCAGTTAGTAGCGCGACGAACTTTGGGTCCAAGGCAGCGATGTCCTGTACCTGTGTAGGAGTGGTTAATGTGTTCGCCTAGCAATTCAAAGGAAGCTGGTTAGATCCTGAGAAAAGTCAGTGTCTTTTTGACCGAGCTCTGCCCGGTCAATGGTTCCATGACAGATTTGTTACCTTAGCCTATGTAACAAACAAAATGTTAAAAGAAGCACCCAACCCCCTTAAAAATATTTGCTATTAATCACACCAAATAAAATACTGGAAAGGATATTTGGTTAATCAACTTAATACAAATTATTTTGTATGTTGCTTCCTAACAAATGATTATATCCTTATCACGACTACTGAAGTATAATTTCTCCATTAGTAGCATTGTGGTTACACAAACCTGGTATTTTATATTCACGTTACAACACACAGTTGATACTTCCCAAGAACTAAGTGTTTGAGGTCTAGCCTACGGTAATGTGAAAAATGATCCCCGGCTAGAGGCTAGCGTCCTAGGACAAAAAAACTATAAAAATAAATAAAAACTTTTTTCCGCAGGTGAACGCGTCATTCATAGTGCAGAGTGTGGTGGAAGGTCAAGACCCTGTGACCATCGCAGGGCTTAACCTAGGGGTCAACACGTTCCTGGGGGGCAAGCTGACCATCGTCTGTGTGGCAGACTTGTTCGGGGTGTACAGCAGTCGGGCAGAGGTCACCTTAGATGAGGAACGCCCTAGACTGGCCTCCGTACTGGGAAACCACCATCAGGCTCAAGGTCAGAGTGCTGCAAATTAACTTTTCCTACAGTTACCTAACAATGTACATGTTCTCTCACTGATTTGAGAAAGCAAAGTGGCCAATTCGCTCATCAGTGAGACAATGTTAACATTGTCTCACTCTAATTACTTTGTCTCACTCCAGATTTGCAACGTGAAGGCACGAAATAGTGAGCGCGTAACCTGCAGGTAACGTGTTATGCGCGCGAAATACGTTGGCAGCACTGGCTGTAAATCAGCTGGTCAGCTGTTGTACTGTTGTATTTGTCACTTCACATTAAATGTTATATTAAAAGTTCACTTTTGTGTAAAAATAGGTTATGTTTCTTCACAAATTTATTTGTTTTATGGTAACTGTAGGAAAAGTATAATGTGCAACTCGAAATCAAAGTACAATTGCCTCACTCGAGAAACCATTCCTCACTCGCCTACGGCTCGTGAGTAAGGATTTCTCTCGAGTGAGTCAATTGCTCACTTTTCTCACTAGTTGCACAAATAACTATTGTATATAGAAAGTTGAAATCAGCTGATAGCTCTATTACGTTCAGTAATTTTAAAACCAATAACATGTTTTAAGTCACTTAATTTTTTCGTTTACCTTATTGTTAAATGTATTACTTTGATTAATATTGAATTTGAAATGCCTACATTACTTGCTTAGTTATTGTACACTATTTTGTAAAATGTGTTTATTGTAACGGACATAAAGTAACACATGAAATGTCCGTCATAACATACAAAATAATTAATATTTTAGTACACATGAGGTGTTTAAATTTCAATACAGTAATCAATCTTTGTCTATAGGTGTCAATATATCCAACTTGAATGAGCTATGCTCTAATTTGACATAAAATAGCTACGTCACACCGAGTGTGGCATATAAGGTTGCATCGTTGATATCCTCAGTAATTCCGTCCAGCCATTCAATTATGATCGACGTGTGACTGAGGAATTTTAAAGTGTAATCGTGTTTACTGTCACTACAAAAAAACCACAATTAATTATTTACACTTCACTGTCCACGTTTCGTAACAAATATATGATTTTCATTTCGATTCATTTACCAAATAGGGTCATTGGTTGTAACGTAAAACTAAATCAACCACTAGTGTTTCAAAGTAATATTTTAACAATGTCATCCTATCAATGTAGCTAATTATGTATTTATAATAATAAAAATAAATTATTTTATCCTGATTACTTATCTTTGCAGGAGGTGCCAGCTGTTCACTAGCCTGCGCCCTTCTCTCCTCTACAGTAGTCATCTTGCTGTCGTTTTTCAGATAGCAGTAAATAGTCTACTTCACTTTGAATTTGTATTTGTACATGAAATAATTTATTATTTTAAAAACAGGGTAGTATGAAATTTAGTAGTTTAACTTAAATTTAGTAGTCGACAAACCACTGTAATAATGTCACCCTAACGCAAACCAACTGTGTGTATATTATAATAAATAATGAAATAATTTGATAAGTTAAATAAAATGTATGTAAAATAAATTGTTAATATAGCATAATTTCTTATATAAACATGTGTATATTAATTAATCATATGCAGTCGTGATTCCTGGTGCTTTTGTAAACAAACTAACTTATCACGTTGCTGGGTTTGTGATAGTAATCGCAAAACAGTTTTGAAATGTTGAAATGTTTGATGGATTTATTTTTGTATATGTAGTTTAAATATTTTGTAAAAGTAATATTTTCTTCCATATTACTTTTTTCTGTACAAATATGTTTCCCTATTTTAAACGTAAGCTTATATATTTTTGTAAGTGGTTAAGTAAACTCAATATATATTAGTTAATATTTTAAATTATGGATTCTTTATATCAATTTAAAATATATATACATAAATAATTATAGATTTATTTAGTGTAGTATGTTTACTTTTTTCGTGTACGTTTTCTGTTTACTAAGCATTATTAAAAATGTGTTTGTTGGTTATACATTTTATAATAAGTTTAAAGATTGAAAAACTAGATGAATAAATATCATCAACGCTTGTATTAATTTTCATCGTGACTCATGAACTCTTATACGTTAAAACTTACTGTTTCTTAGATTAATTACACCTGTATGTTTGAAGAGAAAAAATACTAAATTAAAACAAAACTGTTAACACTGTTAGCACCATAATACTCATAATCATGTTATCTTAATTTAATTTGTGAATCCATTGTACAGTTTGTGTTGTTTCATACGTTTACAATAAGCTGACCGGAAAAGATACATCAATGTATAGTCTTATAATACAACACATAATATGTAAATATATGATAACGTAGATCCCTGGTGTGAAAACCGACCTATCCTGTTAGTAAAGAGGTCTTTCATGTTACTGTTACCTTATATTTACCTTTGTAACTGTACTACGTTACCGACATTAATCGTAAGTGTTATAAGATATTATGTTAATGTTAGTTATGTTGATAAATAAAGATCTTTTATAGGATGTGAGAATTAATTTGAGGTTTTCCGCTCCAACCGATCAGCTTAATATTATAATAATATATAGGATTTTGAATTTCTAAATGGTTTATAGGCCTATACACCACCGAAAAAAAACACCGAATAAAACATGTCAACAGACTTTTTATCATAAAAACGTAAAATATATATATATTTCTGTAGGTAAAGAGAAAGTTTGTTTCAAAGGAAATATGTCTAACGATATCGCAATCCCCCAAAGCAATATTTAAAGTGAAAGTTTCAAATTTACTAAGTTATAGGAGATTACAAGGTAAACCAAAATAAAGTAGAGTTTCTAAAAAGTTCAATTTAGCTTACGTTTTTTATCTACGTTGTGCGAGCAAACTCAATTTTATCTCAACATTTTCTACAAAGGTTTGTCAATTTGGTCTAAGACTAAGGTTTTAAATAGTTTCCTAAATAAGTAGGCTGAAGTATAACCAACGCAAGTTCGAGTTCCATGCTTCGTATAAAAAATCTGATTTATTTACTGTATCTTTATTGCAAATATGTGTAGTATTAGCTAGTTATGATTTATTTTTGTTTTTCAGACGAAACGAATGGAAATGTATGGATTAGGTGCAAGTAAAGAATAGAGTTAATGACCTCCATTTGAATTCAAATTTCAAAATTCCTTTTTATAAGATTGAATTAAAATATGAACTGAAAAAGATTAACCTGTTCAATTAATGTCCATACAAAAAAATTACTTAGCCTACTTTAGCAAAATATGGTTAGCTTCATACTTCACGGGAATTACATCCAGAGGTACTGATTTAACGACACGAATAATTTTCGACAAAAGTATTATAATATTATATTGTCTTTAGTTGTTTTAGTTTGTTTTAGGTATGAGAATGAAATAATACCCCCGCCGCAGCAAACCTGCCGACTAAGCGAATTTCCATTTGTCTGAATTGATTTTCAGTTAAATATATTTTAATAACATTAGGTTTAACGAGTACCTAGGTTTGCTGCTACAAGGAAACTAATAAAGTGTGTTTTTGAGTAAAATATTGATAGCTTAGTAGAAAATAAATAAATTTGCCAAGTTTGATCAAAATATATCCATAAACAAGCAAACTACAACATTTGACAATATTCTCCATAAGAATAACATGGGAATTTTAAATTTACAATTTTTTTAATTTTCTCCGTTACTAATAATCGAACAAAAATACTTTTATATACTAAATTATTTGTTTTTTAAGCTCTTTAAAAAGGTCTAAAGATAAATCGGGAAATTTTGTGTTTTGAGGGTCAAAAGTGAGAAAAACCAATTTTTACCCCATAAAACCCCCATAAAGCCCCGTTCCCATGATCCGATCGTGCTGGTTCGCAAACTCATTCAAGTTTATCCCGCTTTACACCTTTAAACCAAATTTCATCAAAATCGGACAAAAATTACTCAAGTTATCGCGTTCACGGACGTATATATATATATATATATATAAGTCTATATATATATATATATATACATATATAAAAAATTGAACGAATGGTGTTTTTGGCCTCTGGGGACATCAAAATTAAAAAGTAAATCGGTCCCGGGTCTAGGTCTTACCGTGCCACCTACGGTAATAGCTACTTCCCTATAGGGAAATTCGCTAAAAAAGTAATTCTTAAAAAACCAGTTCGTGCCAATTATAAATTGTACTATTAGTTATTTAAAACAGTAACGAATTATACAGTATAAATTCCTAAGATAATATTGTTGGTTTGCTTCAATATAAAATATCATCCACTAATCGCACCTACTCAAATAATAAAAAACTGCTGTAGAAAGTTACAGTTACTTGAGTTTAAGTTCAGCTTAAAAAGTATGTTGTAAGGTTATATAAGTATTCATATAAAAACAAAATGTTCGTTTTAATAAAAGATTAATTAACCTTGAGTGAAAGTAAAATATTACATAAGAATATTGCTTAATCAAAATGATTTATTTCAGACAGTTTCAATGTCAGCCTAACCATTACTGTATTGCTTTTTCTGTCATCTTTCACAGGAAGTACCGCTATAATGTTAGCAAATTTCCATAAAATGTTAGTAAATGTTAGTAAAATGTAGTAAACTGTCTATGCAACAATCGGATAACATTTTACAAAAAAAAATTATGGAATATATCAAATTCAAAAAATATAGTTCTGTTACATCATTGAGCAGGCAATGATAACTTTTATTCTCTGCTCTGTGAGGTAGATACATCAGTGTTAATGTAAAGTGCTTACAGCTTACAACTTTTAGGCTTTCGATCATAATTACACATGAATAAACTAAAAAAAAACTAAAAAAAAAAAAAAAACTGAGATGGCAGAACTTATCGATACTGTATATAAAAAAAAAATATCACCTATGACAACCTACGGATGAAAGCTGCGTGAACCCTTTCAAGCAAAGACGAGCATAATTTAATTATAGGTTTGTTTGATGTAGAAGTAGTAAAGTAACTAGATCGGAAACAAAACCTTCCAGTATTATTAACAGGTAGTTGTACTTGGAAAATCGATGCTCACGGCGGTCTTTTGAAACGAATTACAGTGTTTTATTCGTATCCATCTTAAAATACGTATTCAAACGTCCTTTGTATGACATAGTTCAAAGCTGGAAATTGAGTATATACTAGTAAAATGTTTTTGAAAGCTTTTAAATTAATACCCAAACTTAACATTGTATTGTATGAGGCTAAGATCGGATGCAAGCATATTTGAAATAATATTTAACAGTGTCTTATCAAGTGTTTCAATTGTAAAAGAAAGTCTGGAGGTAACATAAATTAACAATTTGGCTCCTTATAACCTAACCATTGCCTTAAATGTAAACTGCATTGAAATTACCTAAAATAGTCACGAATTTGCATAAAGATTCTCATACCATCTAAACATGCCTTTTCCGGCATCCAAAGGAAATTGCCAATGTTATACAAGTTTGGTTAACTTAAGTTGGGCTCAGTTCAGTTAGCTGTAATACGCACTTTTAAAACATAGGCTACTTATTTAGATTCAAATACCCAGATAAAATCATTAAATGGACATAAAATTAACAAAATAGCTAGGTTTTTTGCCGCACCTAAAGTGTTTTCGGCAGCCTTAATACGTGAATTTCGGGGTGAAAATTAGGTTAACCCCAAAAGTGCCTGTCGAAAAAGTGCATAGAATTGTCTAATTTATCCAAATAAAAAATGGTTTTGTAAAAATTGCATAAGTAGTTTAAGTTCATAAATATTACCAAATAACCAGTATTTATGACAAAACATACTCTACATAAGGATAATATCAAGAAACCCTATCATATAAATAATGTGCGCAAGCTTCTTTATTACATATTCATAACGTTGATTCCTGGAATTCAAATTAATACGGAATTACTTCAAGTCTAAAACACACGGTGACTGAACATAAGCAATGTAATTGAACACGATGCTTTTGAGCTTCATTGACATGGCAACGTATGCTGCTGTGATATGCTATAATCAACCTGCGCTGTTGAACTTTGTGTACACATTGCTACGTGTTTATCTCAAACACCTGTTTATGAGGAGTTAGCTCATGTTTCGTTACGCAAACACAGAGCCCATAAAATGGTCGCCTTATAAAATTATAAAGTTTGATTCACTAACAGGGATTCAACAACTTTATTTTGTCCCGTTTACATTGTTAAATTACAAGGTTTCTTTGATTGCTAAAGTTCCTGGCATAGCAAATTTAGCAAATTTATTGTATTTAATATTATTTTTAATTTGATTGTGTATGTAATTATCGTTTGATGAAGAGACCTATTAGGATTCTAATGCGAAAGATTTTTACAATGAACTAATACAGGAAAATAAAACGTTAGCAACTAATTTATTGTATTTCACTCATACAATAACATTAAGCTTATAGAAAAATAAAATAGGAACCAAAAATCAACTACTAATTCGGTTACGCAATTCAGTTCCCCTTTAAGCAAATTCGTCTCTGGTATCGTAATACAATTTACCTCATACGAATTTCAAATTTGTATCCCGTAATGTTTGTGTATGATTTTATACATTGATTGGGGTTTAATTATAATTAAAAGTGTTTACTTACGAGAAATAAACTATTTTTAGCACCAAAAAATTTTAAGAAGTAGAATATAGCCTAGATTAAATGTGAATTTATTTTTTATTAATGCAAAATCTTTTATTAGTAATGTTATTTTATTTTCAAGTATAAAAACTACATAATTAACACGATGGATACACCAACAAGAATTACAAAGAAACTTTTTACAAAATAAATTCTTTTCCATCACACTCTTCTCGTGGTTACTAACGTAATTTATTGCCAAAGGAACATTTCCCTTATTTCGTTGAAATTCTATATTCCATAAATGGATGTAATGTAAAAAAAGGTAAATTAGTACGGAATATAAACTTAATAGTATATTTCGTACCTAGGGACGAAAATTAGGTTTTGCTGGCTCTAGTTAGACGATGTTGAGAGCTTAACACGATCGATGGCTGCAAAACTATTTCGGTCCGTGGTACGAACGCTATTTTTCACCACACGATACCTCATTACTACTATTTAGATGCACCTCATTAAAAATCTACACTCAGTCAACACAACTACTACTTTAAGTTTGTGTGAAGAAATAATTTGAGGAATCAGCAAAAATAATAATAAACAGTTGCTAGGCAGCGGTAACAAAAAACAAGTCTATTGCAATGCTATGGATACAGCTTGTGTATTTAAAACACATGATTATTTTAAGTAAATAAGCGAACAGCTCATTTTATGGCCCTAGGGATGCAAAAACCTGATCGGTCCCCGAAATGACGATGGCAGCTGGCATGGCCCGCAAAACGTAACTTTCAGCCACTAAATTAACGTATGTATAACAGCTAAAAACATCATAGTGTGGTGAAAAGTTTGTACATTTGACAACAGTTCTTACATACAAAAATGCAGTTAAATAACACTAAAACCAAACAAATTTGTTTCATGGACATGTGCAT